ATGGTTCATGGGGTCACGAAGAGTCGGACATGACTTAACGACTGAACAACAACAACAACAGACAGATACTGCCTTAATTCACTGGAGTATAAGAAGAGGAAGGAGGTACAACACAATCAGACTTGCAAGATTGTCATCCCCACAGACGAAGAATCAATTCTACAGGAAGGCTAAAACTACTTTTGTTGAGATTGCCTGTATTAACAGAGCCTTGCAAGTCTGATTGCACTGTACCTCCTCCCCATTTTTAGAAAATGTTTTACATTTATAAGATCCACTTCCAGGGACAGCTGTGATAGGTCCCCGTATAGAGTATCTTGGGTCTGCTATAGGAAAATGGTACATTGGACTTTCTGTGAAAGTCCATTTCTAAAACAGAGACAGAGCAACCAGCCCTTTCAGGCATTAAAAAGAGAGAAAGCGAGAGAGAAGAAAAAGGACCCTATCAATATTTGCAACTAAAAGGTGTAGTCTAACTTTTTCAACTTCCCTCCTACATTGCTGAAGTTCTTTACCCTTTACGCTCTCTTCCTGGCTTTTCATTCCAAAATGAAAGGAACAGTCTTTTCCCTTCCGAGCCATCACTGGAAGCTTTTTCTAGCCTTGCCTTCAGAGTGGGAGATACTACCTGCAGAATGGCCTGTCTCACTCGAAAAAAGTCCATCATGGGAAGTCCATCAACATACCATTGCTTATAAGGCTAGCTAATGTGATCTGTTATCCCATTACCTTATTTAGGTTAACTGATTTAAATGAAAAAAAAGAACATAATTATGCACCATTTAGTATGAGTGCTTTTGTGCCTCTTCAATCATTTGACTTTATAGTATTGCATTTCTTCCTACCAGTGACTGTTGATGGAATCAGAAGGGTATTTCTTGATCCCTTCAGCAGCTCTTGCTTACTGTTGGAAGAAATATAAAATCCAATTACATGAGTAGACATTGCAATATGATGGTTATTCAATTCATTAATTCTTTTTCCAGATAGCATACTAAACATTTAAATATTTATCTATACATATTTATATCTATACGTTTAAATATCTTCTAGGTGCAATTCAAGGTGCTGGTTATTACCTATAAAGCTCTTCATGGCATAGTGCCAGATTATTTGAAGGACCACCTGTCCTCTGTGGTTTCTGCCTGACCAGTAAGTTTGGGCAGAATTGGTGTGCTTTGGGTGCCTGATCAAATAGTGCCATCTATCAGGACATAGGAAGCATCCCTTCTCTGTTGCAGTGCCTGCCCTCTGGAATAGTATTCCTCCAGAGATTTGTGTGGCTCCCACCCTGATGGTGTTCTAGAAGACTGTAAAAATCTGGCTGTTCTCCCAAGCCTTGGGGTAGGGTGGTTGTGGAGCCCCTGTCAGTTGGATTTTGTGTGCGTGTGCCTGTGTGGTATATGTAGTGTAGTCTGTTTGGATGTATGTGGTCTTTTTTTCCCTTCTTTTATTGTATTCTACTCTTTTAAAAATGTAAACTGCCCAGAGTTGCTCTGCAGTTAGACAGCTTCTAAATTTAATAAATCATCATCATCATCATTACAATTAAATCAGCATATAATTACATTTTAAACTGTTTAATGTTCAGTAATTGAACTTCTTAATTATCCATCTATGTTATACAGAGACCATAAATACATCAGTTTTTTACCTTTAACTATGGTTTTTTGAGTGGTCAACATATTCTCTGTTCCCTTTTTATTAAGGCTTTATAAAGGACACTGTAGTAGTAGTGGGAACTGAGAGGAAAGATGGGAGTTACCTGCAGTGAGTATGCACAATTTATAGAGGTGTGACCTAATTTTTTCTCAGGATTAGGCTGCTTCCAAATGAGTTTGCGCAGGCGCGGAATGCTTAGGTGTGAATATATAAGTGGTCCCTTGAGTAACCATGCTTCAGTGTGTCAATTCTGGCAGTTGAAGTAAGGAGATGGTGGTTATGCATGCTAAGAGCTATTGCTAACATTACATAAACAGTTCTATAAACAGAATGCATTGGTGAATCTGGAATAACAATGGTTCTGACATCACTGTTATTCCAAGATAAAATACCTTGTTCTGTTTAAATTGTTCAGTTAGAAACAGAAAATGAGTAGGCAACACAGTTGTTGTCTTCTATTCTTGTTTCTACCCAAGATGTTGTGTTAAAGCCGCTTTTGCCCCTGAACTACGCTGAGCTGAAGAAGCTGCTGCACGATAATTGTAATTAATGTTGTAACTGTCCTGCCATTTGATATTTGAGCTCATCATTAGCTTCATACTTTGTTAACCATGGTTCTTAATATTTATCATTGATTAGAACTTTATTTTTAGTTTCTTAAAGCGATATGTTATATTCCATTGTTCAAAATTAATTAATTATATATTGGAAAATTATAATCACCTAGGCTTTTTAGAGCCCTTTTTTACTTATTGAGCATTACTTTCTGTTTTGTTTATTTATCATTTCTAAAATGCTTAATGAAGTAAATATAAAGGAAATGGGAGAAATGAAAGTTGAGCTTATAAATTTGACATAATGATAAAGCTTCTCTTAGTGGTTCACAAGTATATGATTATCTTTCCCCATAGTGTCATTCTAGGGTTTTTAAAACTAAAATTTTAAAACAAATTTAGTCTTTGAATATGGAGCGTATAAATAACATTCAGCTCCGAGTGTCATTCAACTAGCTGGCTAATTAAATTGAGGCAGCGTGAAAAACACATGTAATTTTTGCACTGAGATGGTAAGATAATAAAGTGGCTGGGGAATGTTTCTTCTGCTCCCAGTACAGCAAACCCAGAAAGATTATAAATTTGGGGGAGAACCTAAGACTAGAAATTTTCTACCAGAGCCCTCTTCAGCAGGATTTATAATTATCTGCTACAATTAACATGAGTAAATCTACCACAGCAAACACTCATGACAAATAAAAGTTAAAAATAGACCAGCACACTCAAGCCTCAATTGAAACTAACCATGTCTCTAAATGCCAGAGTGTTTGGCGCAGATATTTTGCTACCTTTGTTTCAAAAACTTTAATTGCAGTTGGAAATGAATGATGTCCCACTAGACCTCCCCAAGTTCTCTCAACTCTGATTTGAAATTTTGCTTTTCACTATTATAATGTGCTAACACTGATTTTTTTGTTTCATTAATACATTATTAAAAATAAACAGGAGGCAAGAATAGTCCCATACTTTCTCATTACAAGTAGTCCTTGCTTAGGAACCCTAACTGGGACCAGCAATTCCGCTGCTAAGCGAAGTGGTCGCTAAATGGGAAATCATGTGACCGTGACTATGCTTTCCAGCTGAAAAGAGACAAGACTAGTCAGTTTCACACCTCCAGCTTTTGGTTGTCTCCTAACTCCTCTCCTGCCCTTTGGAGTGCTCCAATACCTGCTTACTGTCTTGTACACATGGAAAGCAACACGATTATGCCGGCAGCCTGAGCCTGGGAGCTGCGGACATGCTACACAAATAGCTTACAGTACTCTCTTGAAAACTTCCTCTCCAATCTCCCTGCTCTGCAAGGGGAGGGGGAGCAAGCGAGTTATTTTTTTCAGCAATGTAGTAACTTTGAACAGTGTTGAAAGAGTAGTTGGTAAGCGAGGACTACCTGTACTTTGGATTACAATGTCTCATTGCTATGAGGAAGGGTGTGGAAGTGCAAAATGAGTGGAGCTGAACAGTGTCTAAACTTCTGGACAAATGCAGAGTGGGAAAAAGCACAGAAAGCAGCATTTTAAATTTAAATCTCTCTTTTAAATTCCAGACACTGCTAAATTTGAATGCAGTGTTTTGCACATTGGGGCAGTGTTCTCCTACCACAGCCTTCTGGTAGTCATAATTTATCTAGCATACCAGAATTATGCTTTATTATGAAAACTCAAACTTATACACATGTGTGTAATTAATGCAGTTCTTGCATCAGTTTTCTGTGGGTTCTTACAAGCTTGTAATTATATTGGAGGGATATCTAATGGTCAATTTTACCACTGTACTTGACTCCTGATTGAATCCCTAGAGATGCATGACAGATTTCTTGATTTCTGCTTCAGCCTGCAGGTCCTCCAATCAAAAGAAGGAAAGTGTTCTCCGCAGGCCTCTTCGTGCTACCACTTTGGATAGCAATGTGAGTAAGAATGGACATGTTGAATTTCGTCAGCCCCTGACTTCTTTCAGGTGAGTTTGATTCCTTTTGTCATTTTATTATTGCAGGGATTATAGAATTAAACTGTAAGCGTAATTATTTCCTATTTTTGAAGACTTTATATTTATTGATATGATTTCTGTTTCACCTTAAAGGGGATTTCATGAAATAGAACTCCTGCTTGTGCTATTGCTTGTAATTTTGGAGTGAAGACAACATTTTTATCAAGTTACTAAGATACTTGCTGCTTTCTAGAGATAGTAACCGCCAGTATTCTAAGAGAGAGGGAAGGGAGTAAATGGAACTTGGCAGAGGAGAAAGATAGGGAGGGAGGGAATTACCCTGTTTAAGCCTTTGATGCTATTTTATCTTGGAGAAAAGTGCAATCCATGAAATTCCTTCCCTCATATTATAGTATATCCCCTGCCTTTCTATAGCAAAGACTGGAGTGCTTTCCCCTCTCTGGCTTGGTGGAAGCAAGTACCTATAAACCACATTCCCACTATGTTCTTATGAGAAAGGAAGCATTCTAGTTTCAGTTTTGCTTTTGGAAAAGCAATGTGGTTAGTAGGTCTACTTGAGCAGTAATATCACTATTAAGAAAGTTCCTATGCTGTTTTATGCTGTGGACCTGGAAAGGGTACTGTAAGGGACTTGCTAGTTTGGCTTTTTATAGTTAAGGTGCTCTGGATACTTAGCAGTGCAAATGCCAATCCATGTCCTGTGTTCTTGCAGTCTTGGAGCTGGGACATCTTTGGCTTCAAAATGAAAAGGGCTGGATGACAGGACATTCTGGATGACAGGAGGGAAGAGATTTTCAAATTGCTTACCTTCAGTTCAAAGTTGTTTTTGTTTTATGTCAAACATAGGTTCATTAGCGTTTCTATCTTTATTTTAATGTTCAATGTGTTTCTGTTAGAGATTCTGTGTGGTCACCATCTTATAAAACTTCTTGCCAACTGGAGGCCAGATGTCTGAAGCGTAAAGCAGGGAATAAAGCAGAAGGAAGTTGTATGACCTATGAAAAAGGAGAACCAGATTTTCATGGTAGAGATTTGAAAAGCTCGTCTTCTACAGATGAAACTGTTGTTCGATATTTGAATGACCGTCCAGCAATTGATGCTTTGCAAAGTTCAGATGTAGTGAATCCTACAAAATCAGAGGAAGAAAAAAGTGAAGAGTCCAGAGGAGATGATTATACAAAAACATCTCCAAGCACAACGATCCAAAATGCTGAACTAAAAGAATTACAATTGATAGAATCTTCAGCTTCTTCTGCCAGTACCTCAAGTGCCCATAGATTAGATATTTTGAAGCAGCATCAGCATGATGCTAAACTAGAAAAACTGAAAGAACGAATTAGAAAGCAATGGGAGTGTCCAGAAGAACTGGCTATCAGAGGACATGATCCTGAATATTCTGATCATCCTATAACTGTTACAGCTCCTGAAAATGTAGTGACTCCTAAAGTCAGAAAAGTGGCAACTGCACCTGCAGCTCCCTCCTATAAAGGTACATACTTTCTGAATAAAATGTATATGTGGAAAAAAATTGGTGGTTTGTGAAATAAAGGCTAAGATTTTCATTGTTCCTTGGGCCTGATTAAAAACCCACCTAATGCTGAGTAATTTCAAAGACTAAGGTTTTTAATTTTTTCCTTCCAAATTTTACTGTGTTGTCTATCATCATAGGTTTTCTCTTCTTTTTTTTTTGTCAATTGCATTGTATATAGCTAGGAACCCTCCATGGATATTATTTGCTTTTGAGTTATATGTGGGTTTTTTTAATGTATATTTATTTATTTATATATATTTCAAATCTCAAGAGTGACTCTGGGCAGTTTACAACAAAAACAAGAATAAATATTAATTAAAATAAAATAAAAAACCAAGTTCATACATAAACAATGTCTTCCAAGATATTGATAGTAAATAAAGGTTACGGAAGCATCTTCAAGGTGCCAGCCACCCCCAGGGTTAGTTGCCCCTCTTCTTGCCCCACGTGAGCTGGCAGAGCCAGGTCTTCACCCCTTTCCAGAAGGTCGGGAGAGTAGGGGCCCACCTCATCCCTGGGGGGAGAGTATTCCATAGGGTGGGGCAACGGCAGAGAAGGCTCTCCTTCTGGGCCCCACCAGTCGATATTCTTTCCTCAATGGAGTCTGTAACATACCTTCTCTGCCTGTCCAGGTGGGACAGGTCGATGTAATGGGGATGATGCAATCCCTCAGGTAACCTAGAACGCTTTTCTCATGGAGCTGATAACAAATAATTGGCTACAAAGGGACGGCAGATGTACAATATAGTGCTTATATTCTAATGGTTTTGTAAGGATTTGTCAATTTTGGGCATAAAGTATTTGGAAATTATGCTTTATTTGTTCCCTTTTGCGATTAGCTTTTTCTTTAATGACTCATTTCCACACTTTGTTGATATTTAATGTGTTTGGATAGAAACTTCTTAGCTTATCTGTTTCATATAGTAGAGATTTGAAATCTAAACATCTTTATTTTTGATAGCTAATATATCAGATGTACAAAATAAGACTAACTTTCTCCACAGAATGTCATGGCTATTTTAAATTGCTAAAGGTAATTGTGCTGTTCTTTTAGGTTTCAATCCATCAGAAGCCAAGATTCGTACTCCTGATGGAAAGGTATGGTTTGAAGAGGAATTTCTGAACCTCAGTAGAGAATTATGTCGAGATTTAGAATTCCAGTTGGCAGGTAAATAACCAGAGTAATTTTGTGAATATTTACATGAAAAGCAAAATGCTATTGTATATCTGACCTACTTAACCCATGAACTTGCAATTAATAGTTTCAAACCCTATTTCTTAGACTTCCTGTAAATTAAAAGAAAGAAAAATTAAAATTGGCAGCTTCATACTTCATACCTCATTTCAATAAATTCTGATTTGTAAGTTTGATAATAGTTGCCATAACATCCTGCTGTAGTTTTGTTGTGGGTTTCCTCATTGTGCTGTTTCTTCAACGCATTTTTCAGAAGAGGATTTGACTGTGATAAAGACACCTACTGAAAGAAAGGAGAAAAAAGGACACAAACCAGTGCGTAAAACCCAGAAGGTTGTACAACTCTCAAGTCCTGATTCTAAACCAGGTGCATTTTATTGTAATTTCTTTGTTTAACTGTTGCGAGCCACCCAGAGTAATTGAGAGTCAGGTGGCATACAAGTTTAACGTATTATGGTTGGTTGCACAGTCAGCCAAATGTTTAGGCTGGATTTGGCATTTTTATCCACCT